GGGGGGAGTGGCAGGGGAAGGGTCTGTCACCTGGCCCTGCTCCAGCCCTGAGGGGGCATGGCCTGACTCCAACCTGGCTGGGCAGAAAGAAGGGGCATGGCCTAGCCTTAAACCAGCTGTGCAGGGGGAAGGGGTGGGGCCTAGCCCCACTGGAGGAAGGAGGGTGGCCCAGCCCCAACCTGGCCAGGTAGAGGGAAGGAAGTTCCATCCAGCCCTATGGAGGGGAAAAAGGCAAAGCCCAGCTCCACTAGGGGGGAGGTGGAAGAGGGTGGGGCCCAGGCCCGCTGGAGGAAGTAGGCATGGCTCAGCCTAGCTCCAACCTGGCTGTGTGAATGAAGTGGGTATGCCCTGTTCTGATCTGGCTGTGTTGGGGGGAGGGTAATAGCCCAGCTCTGCCCCGCTCCACAGGGCTTGGGATTTTGGTAGATTGTCTCTTTGCTTTTCTAAATTGTCTCTACTTTAGAGTGATGCCCACAACTGGATATAGCTGAAGCCTTGCTAGTTTAGGACAGAGTGAAGTAATTACCTCGAGTATTTTATGTACGCCCCTGCTTGTACTACATCTCTGCATGAATTTTGCCTTTTTTCCTCAACCTAGTTGTTAATTTATTCAGTTTGGAGTCCATAATCACCTCCAGGTTCTTTTCTCCAGTGCAGCAACTTAACCAGTTATTCCCCAATCTTGATTTAAGCATATGATTTCTCCTTCCTACATGTAGTTCTCTGCATGTGCATTTACTGAATATCTTTAATCATAGATCTCTCTCTGTCAAGACTGCACCTGTTACAAGTGCTGGGACCCAGGGCCAGCTGTGACGTAGAGCAAAAGCCACAGGGCTGTTAGTGAGCTTCAGCTCTAGGGTACCCTCCCCTTCTTTCTTCAACTGCCATGACTTTGTTGGAATTATTGGAATGTGAAAAGGGAGTCTGCCCCAAGGTCTTAGAACAAACCCTAGTTTTTCCAGCTGCTAGCAGCTCCCGCTCAGATCCCACTGGTCCTGGTCCTGCACTTGCACAAGGTTGGCCCTCCTGACCCATCCATTTCTCCAGGGCACCTGTTACCTTGTGCAGTATTCGTGGCCTCTGAGACCTCCCTTGTAACCATGCCCGTGCCTTGCAAATGTTGCTGTACAATCTATCACTCTCCCTTGTTGGGACTTCGGCCTTCATGGCCTCTGCACCCCTTTCTTCTCACTGGCCCTCTAGCCCAGGCCCACTATACTGGCCCAGTCTCTGCCCTGCTCAGGCCCTGGGCCCTCCTGGGCTCATCTCCACTCTGTTCACTCACTGCTAGGACCACCTCCACACCAACAGTCACCACTTAGTCCACTTGTTTAAACTATCACAAAGGAAAAAACCCTCTGGCTATAACACAAACTCTATGCTAGGTCTGAACCTAAATATCAGCGCCCTGGCTGTACCACAAAACTCCTTCCTACTCTGAGTCATATTTCCCCTGCAAGTCAGCAGCATCCTATTTGCATTTCCTTAAGATACCCCTGATGTCAGCCAGGAACTCTTCTGCAGTCCTCCTGCTCAGGAGCATTTTCTACTGCAGCCTGCAGGATCAGACTGCCCACCCTGGCTCAGGCCCTGGGTTTATAGTCTCACTAAGCCCTGCCTTCTTCTGGTCAGGTGACTTCCCTAGCCATTCACAGGAATTCTCATTTTGGGCTTGATGAGCAGCCTATCTTTCCTCCTGCACCTAACCTTTGCTCAGCTGCCTGGGCTTCATCTGCTGCAATTTCCCTGTTACATTGTTTCATTCTGATCATATTCTCCAAAGCAGTGGCTCTCAAACTTTTTTGTACCAGGACCTATTTGTAAACATTTATGGCCAGTCTGCCTCAATAAATAGTTTAAGTAGAAAAAAGCCCCCCAGCCCTATTTGTGGCTATCACTCATGACCGTCTGCCCCTCATCACCAGGCCCTACCCCCTCCCAGTATATGGGGAGGGTGCAGGGAGGGGAATGGGGGACCCCAAGCAGCCCCTGGTAGGCTGGAACTCTGCTAGCCTGCAAGGGAAACAATTTTCTAGATTTTTCTCCTAAAAAATACATTTTTAAAGTTTGTTGATCCATTTGTCTGTGACCCTGTCATATATTCTTGCAACCTTACTTTTGGGTGGCGACCCATGGGTTCAGAAACATGTTTCAAAGCACTTGCATCTCTTCTCAGCTTCATGCAACCTGCAAATTATATAATCCTAGCCTCTACTCGCATTCAACTTTGTTAACAAAATATTGAATAGACCCAGGACAGACTCCTGCAGGACGTAACCCAAAATACCCTATTATTTTAAGTGAGAGTCACCGTTAACTTCCCTCAGTACAGTTTTGCAACTAGCTGTCCACTCATATTATGTTGTTTTCATCTAGATCATGGGTCATCAACCTTTTAGGAACAGTAGGTCACTTTAAGAAAGCTAGGTCTGAAGGTGGGTAGTTGTTTCTGACCTGGCAACCATCACTCCTCCTTTCTCTGCTGCTGCTATCATCCCCACTGCCAACCTGGCTTCACAGGCCAGATCCAGGCTGTGGGCCATGAATTGCCAACCCCTGATCTGAATCTTATTTCTCAAGTCTGCTTATGAAAACATACAATAGGACACTGCCAAAAGCTTTACTGAAGATTGCCAAAAACTTAATTAGAAATTAGAATGGTTTGACACAATTTGTTCTTGATGAATCCATGTTGCTAGTTTATCATTACTTCCTTATTTTCAGAGTGCCTATACATTTTTTGTCAATATTTTTTTCTGACATGAGCATTAGGCCAACAGAACATTTTATCCCCCTCTCCCCATTTTTTCCTCCCCTGACAGAATTGTTTACACTGGTATACATCAACCCAAAGTTTTCACAAAGTAAAGAAAGACAGCACTTTCTACAGGTCTCACTGGCAGCCAAATGTCTGATACCAAAACACTAGTATTTGTCTATGGCTTCCAAAATAGATAACCGGTACAGTGAGTTAAAATGACACTATTTTTTATACCAAAGAGACGGTAAGGAGGCAAAGAAACCCCCCAAAAACCCAATCCTGATCACAGTTCTTTACTTTGAGTGATTTAATAGCATAACTAGGTTGCTGTTCACATGTTTCAATGCAGCATCTGCCAATAAACAATGTGAATCCTGACTGTTGCCTCTGGGCTCTACCGCATTATAAATATGCAATAATAACTATAATAAGAAATGGCAGAATGTAAAGGTTAGCTTAAGGGAGTAGACACTGATTAAGAATGATATATGTACTAAATGATCAATCTGACTCTGTATAGTTGTTTTCTGTCTGAGATGCTATATCAAAGGGTATTCTCTACCTCTTACATTTTTTCTTCCTGTTACTTAGGCTTTTATAATATTAGAATTGAAGAAAAAAAGCCAAGTCTGTATGTCTGTCTGTAATGCTTTATTCGAAAAAGCATTCTGACAGAAGGCAACCCACCACCATGATGGTGGGGACACAGGGGCCTCGCCCCCTCACCCTGTTCCCTGGAGGCGGTAGCAACAAAGTGGACAGAAAGCAGGGGAGGGGGGGCCCCGCAGGCCCAACGTGGCGGGGAGCGGGGCCAGATGAAGTGCGGCAGGGGGGGGGCGGAATGAGTAATTGGCTAGTTTCCTTATAACAAACCGGTAACCAAATATAAACCATCATCTCATATGCACTTATTTTCCAGTTGTTAGCTTTCTTATACTCAGTAAAGCATGCAATAATAATAATAATAATAATGATAATAATAATGGTGAAAGGAAAAAATTACGGTATGAAAATCTTTCAGTAGTCTAACACAGGACTGTCTAATTTGAGTGCCTGAGGGCCAGATACCGCTCCCCCACCAGGCCACATGCCATGCTACGTGCCATGCACATCCCCCACTGGGATCCATGCCACACAGCCTGCAACCTGTTGCACTGCTCAGCAGGCACCCGGCTGCTGTGCCATGCTGCACTAGCACCTCCACCTGGGCCCAGCAGGCCCAGGGGAAGGCAGAAAGTGGAAGCTGGAGGAAGGAAGGGGAGCTCAGAAACCTTGACAGCAGCAGCAACCAAAACAATGGGGGAGCAGTGCCCAAACCATGAGCCTGGAAGCCAGTAGTTAGTGCCTCATAGGCCATTCATCCTGCCATTTGGACAGCCCTGGTCTAACACACCTTAATGAAAAAAAGTCAACATACCTTAACTTTAGAGTTTTCTATCAAATGTTGAGCCATTGATTTTATCAGAACTTCGAAGAAAAACCATGAATACTGCAAAGTAAATAAATTATGACTTCATATAAACTGTCAAGATGGTCTAAAATTTCCAAAACTAAATTAATCATTTTATAGTAAAAAACTTGAACGTAATTAAGTTTACATGTCTATTAGTAAAACAGATGACAATGTTTAATATAATTAATTCTGAGGATTGTGCATAAAGGACAAAATTAGAGTTTTCAACACATACCTTAAGGAGCTTGTTGCTTGTAAGAAAGTCAGCAGATGGTTTTAGAATTGTTGTCATGGATTTGGTCAGCTCTTCATGTACCGTCTTGTATTCAGAAGCAAAGTAAGGCTCAGCTTTATACGCATACTTGGAGGAAGAAGGAAAACGTATAGTACATTCAAACAGATGCAACTGAGAATATTTTTAATGAAAGTATTTAAAAAGAAAAAAAAAACAGAAGAGACAAAGGGTTTTATTTTATTTTACCTTGACATATGACCTCAGGTAGCTATCCAACCCTTCTTCATGGCACTGGGCAACAATATGGATAATAACCCTAAACAGAAGTTATTCTTCAATTACACATTTGTACACTTCAGCAAATAAATACTACATAAAGAGATATCAATTGGGCACAAATCATCTGTTATTTAAACTGACTGGGCCATTTAAAATGTACCTGGTCACATTGACTGCAACTTCCTCTTGACTAGTTCTGGTGAGAACTCGAAACAGTTGGTTTAGAATGGTAGGGAGGAAAGCTATCATCACATGACCCTCCATAGCATGAAGACTCTAAGAGAAGGAAAGATATATATAATATAGCTTCACTGAAGTGAAGGCATTTATTTACATTTCTGACATTCTCTACAATGTACTTCAATAGCCATGTTTTGAGAGAGCCATGTTGTATTATACAAAGTTGATGAGCTAAAGGAAAGACCACTGTGGTCATGCAGTAATAATTTTTAAATATTAAAAAAAATATACTTTAACTTTGAGAGGATCAAAATTATACCATTTTGTCAAGAAATTTAGGCCTAAAATTTAGTTTTTATTACAATTTTAGATTTCCTTTGAAATACTCTCACGTTCTCATTTGTGGTTAAGTTGGGGTGTTCATATAGACAGGATGGTCCATGAAATATACATAATACCAAAACATTTATTATATTTTTACTGGACAAACTGTATTGCTGGGAATGAAGTTTACATTTCAAGTAATTAGCAATTTGTTGCAGACTGACATGACTACCATCAATTTGTCCCCACAATGTCCCAGTTTTATTAACTGCTTATTAATTTTAAACCACTGATATGCTGGGATCATTGCCTAGCATGATCAACAGTCTCTCAATGTTACCTTGTGCTCTCCAGTCTGTACCCATCTATTGTTTCATGTCTTATATTTAGATTGCACTCCAGGGAAGAGATCACATTTTGGAATTATGTTTGCATGCTGCCTACTGCAATGAGGGCCCTATTCATGACTGGGGCTCATAAGTGGTATGGCAATATGGTAATATAAACGAATAATTAAATCTATTACTCACAACCATTTTGTACCTTAAGATACTTTACAAGATCAGTTCCTAGTCCCTGAGCTCCAGACTCTGTTTTCTGACAGTACTGAAAAAAATTGTGTAAGTGCTGGTCCTAACAAAAACAAAAAGAGAACCAGAAAGTTAAAACAATAACTAATATTTATACTAATAACCAAAATGAAACATACCACCACCTCAATTTTAAAAAATATTGTCTTATGTTTAGGCTTCCCAGCTGCATTTCAAAGTGCAAGAGAGGTACATGTTTAACGCTCAAAGGGGAGGAGAGAATGGAGGGGTGTGGGGAAATCAAGAAATCCATGCATACTTAGAAAGTAAAGCAATTTACTCTTCTGAGAAAGATATTTCATCTCCTTCATTAACATGAAATAAATCCAATATTTCTGACTAATCATTACATAAAATTGCATTTATATTCCCTTAGAAGTAAAAATGAAGAAAATATACTACTTATAACTACAGTTCTCTGAATTAAGGCACAGCAGCACCCGAGATCCTCCTTCACTTGTTACATGTATCATGAAATTACCAAGTTAACTGCATAATTCATTTAGATTGGCTACACATGCAAATTATCATACCATTAAAAAGTTAGAACCAGCTATAAAAGTTACTGCTGGAAAATGTGTAATAACTTTATAGCTGGTTGCTATCCAGCATTATTTTGCACATATTGTAGGGTCTGCCCCAACCACAGAGGTGCATCATGTGCAGCCAAGGCTAGGAGTCCTGGAGTAGAGAGGACACAGTCCCGGCAGTGTCCCATGGGTGCTGGGAGGGAAGATCCTGCAGTTGATGGAACTCTCCCTCCTAAAGCACCCTGCAGGTGCAGGACTATTGGTCCTGGCAGCTGTGGGGCACTGCCATAGCTGCAAGTCCCATCACCTGTGGGACTCACAGCCGCAGGAGTTTTGTTACTAACACATGCTGCAAGGGGAGGCCAGGATGGCAATCCCAGGCTCCCCCTTTACTAGCAATAAGGCATGATACCATTTGATGCTGGTTCCCACAATCACACCTCCTGCCATGCACATGTGGCATAGCAGGAGATGAGACTGTGTGGATTGCGCATCAGATCCTATCACACCTTTACCTGAATGTCTAGAGGGGCCCTTAGAGACTAAATGGTTAGGCTTTGTTTCTAAACCAGTGATTTTCAAACATTTTAGACTCAAAAACCCCTCCAAAACTTTTAAGAATTTAGTGACACCCCTTTTAAAAAAGCTAATATATTATGAATAATCATTATGCTTCTATTATTAATATGATATTAACTGATTAAATAATTATATTATATTCACCTCTTCAGGTTGCTGTAGTGGAGTGCTCCCCTAGCTCTGCCTGGTTCAACAGACATTTGCTCCAGTGCAGCAGTGGACACTATACACATGGCACCAAGTCACTGATAGGGGAGTCAGGGATCACTGGGCCAAGTTCTTTCCCTTGTTTCCCCACTGAACTCCAGCCATGGGGCCATAATGGACAATCTGGGGACACCCCACCAGCAGGGACAAAGTGCCAGGCTGCACCTACATATGCAGGTGGGGAGTGCCAGGGGATGAGCAAAAGGACATACATAGGCAGGCCAAGGATGTGTCATGGCATAGTCAATGCCCCTACCATGGTGTAGTTTTAACCCAAGGCAGTGGTAACCTCAAGACAGAGCCTCTGCCACCAGGTAGAACTGCACCATCCACCTTGATTTTCAGAAGGCACACTGGAGCCAAACTGGGAAGAGGTGCTGCAAAAGCAGTGTGCTTGCCTGTGTAATGGAATGCGACACGGTGCATGGTGCAGTTTCACCCCAAGCAGTAGTACTGGCAGCACTGGGCACTGTGGTACCTCTGGCAGGGTCTCACAGCCAGTTGAGAATCACAGTTCTAAACTGAGGTATGTATTCAGTAATAATAAGAGATAAGAGATTCAGTCTCTAGAGACTAAGGTGCCACCCTGCCCCGTCTTCTACCTGACTAACCAGTTAGTCTCTACATGATCTTAGATGATCTACAGATCAAATACTTGTGAAGGCACCTACATCTAGTTATAAGAAATTAAACATTTTAAAAACTTACCTGTGTATACACAGTAGAAACTAGATGAGTGCAAATTTTTAAAAGTGGTTTACCTCCATCTACCCATTTAATTTCAGGACCGGAATGCTGTATGCACACAGGAGGGAACATAGAATATTCTATCAGTACACTAGCCCAAAACAGGACAGTCCTTTGTTTACATACCATATATACATATACTGCAATCCCTTCTCTGTCGCTAACCAATTATAACTTCAGGATACACACGCTTTTTTATTCCGTGTAAGCACAGAACAGCAATAACTGTACAACTTACATACGCATTATCTGTTCAACAAACAGTAAGCAGTGCCTTGATTCAGTCTGTTTCAGATTTTACAACTCCGAGGGAATGTTTCAAGTTCTACTGTAATGTTTCAAGTTGAATGTTTCAAGTTCTACTGTTCTACTTCTCTGAACAATACAGAGATTAGCATGGTCCCTGTGCAGGGGTGACAAGCAGATTACTTTCTCTAATGTCAGTCTGCTACACAAATCCTTATACAGCTCTCAAAGAAACCCTAAATGAAAAAATATCAAGCTGTGATCATACTTAAAAATTGGAGTCTTTTTTTAAAGTTGTACATTAAAGGAAACCAAAACAAAAAGTGACAATTTTATCCTTGTATTTTGAAATAGATAGAGAACCATTCAATAATTCATGAGAAAAAGAGCAGATTTGGCAATACAAAAAAATATTTCCTATGCGAGTAGTAGGGATCAGAGGTCATGAGCACATGAACAAGTTACTGTGAGGTAAATTGGTGCTGTCCAACTTCTCAGCACCTGGGGCTGCATACAGCACCAGAGACCTCATGCTCTGGGGGCTACTCTGGACCACATCCTCTGGGGGCCATTCCCCACCCCCAGACACTGTGCACAGCCCATCTCCTCCTCCAAGCCACATGTATCGCCAAGCTCCCCTGCAGCCATAGGTGCAACACCCCCACCACATCCCTGCCATGCACATTATATGAGGATCCCACCTGCAGCAGTCAGATTTTCTATTGAGCTGCCCAGCCCCAGAAAGAGAGACAAGAACCCAAGAACCAGAAGCTTGGGGGGGCAGCAGGCCAGAGATGATGGCTGCTGCCACAAGAACAATGGCTGGAGTGGTGGCCAGGAAAAGAACCTGGGGACTGCAAAATGACTACTGACAGGCCACATGCAGTCCACTGGCCAGAAGTTGGACAGCCACGAGTTAAACAAAGGCACGGATTTACCCTTTGTCAGTTATCGTGTGGTAACCATTTGCATCCAGACTCTTATTCCAGGGTATGTGAGAGCTAACCACAATAACTTAGTCCCCACAACAAAGCGAACAAACCTCCTCCTTTGAGGAATAAAATACCATGGATTAGCTTTAATTTATCATGTGGTAAAAGCATGCAGAGTCAATAACTGCGGAGTAATTGATGCACCAAGTAAATTCCCACTCTGCATACCTTGTGATAACTTATAGCATGCATGTATACCAAGAACACTACCTTGTACAGTTTTTATTTGTAAACCATGACTATTTTTCTATTTACACAGATAATGTCAATTAGCCACCATGACCAAAACCACATACACATTTTTTTTAAAAGTTTCTCACGCACATGAGACAGGGATAACAAAAGCAATCAATTGAAATAAAAATCTATATAAAGGAATATTGACTCAAGTCTCTGTACAGCAAAATAACAGAAAGCATATGAGCAAAATTCTCTTTGGAGTCCCTTTTACCTGCAAATCAATTACATATCTTCCACAATACATTCTATGACAGTTAATCTATATTTGGGGGGAAACATTTTTTTTTTTGCCTGGAAAATGGTAATTTTAAATGAAGGTAAGATAATTTTGTTTCCCATACTCTTTTCTGTGAAGCAAAATATATTATCCTATATACTATACCTTGCCAATCCCAACATCCTGATAACTAAGATAGCCAGAAGGAAGGTTTGCTGATACAGGAATGTTCTGCTCATTTGTCACTACTCTCCCATCTTTTAGGAGTGGAAGCCAAGAATAGCCAACTGCAAAAATCAAAGTGAAATAATAGTTTACATATATTATATATATTAATAAAAAGCTGATATGGAAAGTGTCAATGGATGTTCAATCATTTTTGTTACCCATATACATGGTAACATGCAACTTGTAGGCTCCCTCTACATGTGCAGGTAAAGGCACAATGGACTCTAACGTGCAATTCACGTAATAGCACCTCCTGCCATGCCACATGTGCACGATTGTGGGATTGAATGTGGGACCACACAAGGTCCCATTTGTGCAATTGTGGAACCACACATAAGATCCCATTGTGCTTATTGCCAGTGCAGGGGGAGCCTGATGCCAGGCTCCTCCTGCACCAGCAAGAAGCAAGCTCCTGCAGCTGGGAGCCCCTCAGCTGAGGACCCCCCAATGTCAGGGAGATGGCTGCAGCAGCAATTCTTCCATCTCAGAGGTTTCATGCACCCCTGGGGTAGGGGAACTGTAGTCGCAACCTGAGGCTAACAGGACCCAGCTGGGTCCTGGCACCAGAAGGCATGCTAAGGGGTCCAGAATCTGCAGCTGTGAGACTGAGTTCTGGAAGCTGAAGGGTGATGCCAGGATTCAGAGTCCACCTCTGCAGCTAGGAGCCCACAATTGATGGGGCTCTCAGGTCACAGGGGAGACCCTGCTACCAGTACAAATTAAAGCTAGATAGCAACCAGCTATCAAGTCAGTACACATTTTCACGGTCTAACTTTACAGCTGGTTGGACCTTTTTATTATGTGATAGCTACTTTGCATGTGTAACTGGTCTCGGGGTAATTGCACAATACCTGGAATTTGTATAGGGGCCCATATTACCACAGCGTAACTAGCTGAAGAGAGCCTATGTAGATAATTAGGCATGTAAAAAAATAAAAGTTATTGTCATCTTCAGGTAAACACCTGTAAAATCTTTTCATTTGATACAAAAATATTCATAACCCCTAAAAACTGAAATTAAAGTAGCAGTCTACATGGCAAATAATTCTTTAATATTAAAGTGATAGAGTAAAAATAACTTCCATCAATGCAACAGGATTGCAGTTCACTAACTAAATATAGTGTGTAACACCAGCCAAAATCACTTAGAAGTATTAGCAAGCCTAACCTTGTGTTTCAACAACATCTCTCTTCTTGGTACTCCCTTTGCTTGAATTATCACAGCTGACATGGTAGAATGTGAACAACAAATGATGTTTTTCATGTAGCTGTGTGGGCAATTCTATTTTAATCTATAAAACAAAACACACAGTTGGAATGATTTTTGTAAAGGAAAAGTCTTAAATTAGAGCAGTGACACAAAACTAATGAACATACAAACATGAGGTTGTCTACTCTGACTTGACAGCAACTTCATTTCAATGCATTTAAGCCCACATAAACTATCTAAAGTCATTCAATGTTTAGTTTACATTAGTTACTTATTTAAAAGTAATTTTGTTCAACAAAAACAATTCCCATTTGAATGCATTAATTCTATACATCTCCGCCCAATAACTCAAATACCATAAAAAAGTTTAGATTGCGCTCAGAGTATTAAATTGAATCATGCAACAAGCTTTAATTAATTGTAAAACAGGCAGCAAAACTATTTTCAATTATAGTTAAAGCTTAATCTAGCTGACATTAAAAAAACCCCCAGAGTGGTAATTTAAAAATCAGAAATTAAATATTACACTTCTTCCCTAACAGAGTACACTGGTCTCCACATAACCTAAATACAGTTTTCAAATCTTAGAAAAAATACATCCTCAAAGAAATAAAAGCGATACCTCAACTAGAATAGCTTACCTCATCATAAAACTCTGGGTTTTGGTGATGATGCAAAACAGTGGCAAATGCACTCCTCGTAAATATTGGCCCACCTAGTCTACCGTATATGCACTAAGAACATAAAAGAAAACACAAAGCATAATCTGTTTCTACTGGCAACTGAAAACCCTCCTTAAAATTTTTAAATCTGTAGTACATGGTGTCTTTTATCAGGAATACTTTGTAATGCATTTTTTTTTTTTTTTTTTTTTTTTTTTTACAGTTATTGCTACACAGTACTGATGTTTTGGCTTTTTTAAAATAAGAATAAAATCATTGGAACTAAGCAGAAAAAAATTAAAACAGTATGTTAAAAATTGAATATCTGTTAATATCCTTTTGATTGTGGGACTCGTCCAAGTGCACAATGTTAAAATACAATTAAAATATTAAATCTCAGTGTAATTATTCATTTCCCCCAAATTGGGGAAATTTATAGTATTAAAGCAAATAAAACTGTTTCTTATCTGTTTTCTTTGTGCAATTATTATTCCTCATTTGGTCTACTGAATAAAGGTTACCTTCCTAGTAACTGCTGCTCTTCAAGAGTAGCCTCATGCATTTGTATTTGTGAGATTTAGTTAGGATGACCATTAGGAAGTCTGGGATGTCCAGGACATGACACCACCCTCCCATCCCAAGTCAGTGGCACCACTACAGGCAGAGGCGGAGTGGGATGGTGTGCCAGGCAGGTGGGCAGCAAGGATACTTGCCTTCCTGATATATACTGTGCTGCTTTGCATTAGCTACTTTCCATTTAAGAACCTGGTTGGCATAGGATGGAAAAGTATTGGGGTTCATCCTACAATGAGTGCTGATGTACTGCAATAGCAGCCAGATTTCTTCTAGAGAGGCTTACAGAAGTTCCAGAGACTTGAGATTTAATAATTCAGCACCTCAAACATTTTCTGTAATGTAAAATGCTTGTTGCTGGACCATATGGAAAATAGAGGTATTTCTGAAGATTGTATTTTTTGATTTACTCCTTGATTTAAATTTTACACTTGGGGAGTAAGCTATATCAGTAGAAGTCACCTGCTACAGGTTGATAGATGGAGTATCTCCAGTTGGACTGAGGATTTGACAGTTCTTCTAGAAAAGGAAGTCTAATGATGGTGCTACTGAATAAGGAGGTTCTAAGAAAAGCTCTAACAACATGACGGTACCACTAGAATTACTGATGCTTTCTGTCATCTCTTGTACCATCTTGAGAATGACTAAAACTAGGGGTGAGGCTAGAGGCACAAACTAGGTCCAGAGTGTAACCCAATAGTTTATATATTCCACAATGAACTCTAATCTTTGTTTATACTTGAGCAGCATAGATGATATTTTGTGCTGTCTCTCAAGGCAAATGGACCTCCCTTGGATACCCCCTCGTTCTGAAAGTGGAGGCTTCTACTGAAATACTAAACCAGATATCACAGTAGTTTTATATGTCGACAAATTAAAGCATAGCATTAATCATGGCTGAGGGCATCATATGACATATGAACCTCAGGAATAAAATTAGGGTCTCCAAGTGGTGGGCACTGTTAGAAACTGAAATACCTTTCTTATGTCAGAGGTGTTCTGCCTGAAATGGTTTCAACATTGATCAGTTAAGGAGGAGTTGCAATAGGTTTTTTCCCATTAATATACAGACCTTGGCTGCATAGTAGTGTACATGAAGCAGCAAGATGTTTCATGCATGCTTTGTTCATCTGTGACTCAGTTCTCTATCTGTACAATAAGGATACTACTACTTCCAACCTCAAAGAGAAGTGTGCAGATAAATTAAGCCCAAAGAAAGTTGTTAAGAGGATTTTGCTTTTTTGTTGCCGCAGGGAAGGGCTGAATTACAAACTTGGAGGGAAAGCTCTAGGGTGCTTGCTGATCCTTGCTGGATAGCTGACAGAGCGTTTGTTACAGGTCTCCCAGGAGAAGGAAGAGCCATATGCCTTAAAGGTCCATCCCAAATAATTGTTGTTGTTTATGAATTTTTGTTACCTTTCACCCTAATCTTTGCTTCCTACATAAAAATCAATGAATAAAGCTCATTAAAAATTGAGAGAGAATATGCTCTTATTTTTGATAATTCAGTGGGACATTGGACATGGAGTTAAATGCAGTTTAGGTTCTGCCAAGAGAATCTTGAGTCCAAATTCACAGCTCCTGTGTCAGCAGAATCTTCATTCTGCCAGGAGCCTACTCTGTGTTACAAAAGTCTCCTGCAGATACAGGGAAGCCACCTTCATTTTATGCTTTTTTAACAGTTAGCACCTCCCACTGTGCACTAAATGTCCTTCTGGCTCAGTTGCTTTAAGTGGAACTGCACAGCTCCTCCTAGAACTATTTACATCATTTGAGGAAGAGCTGCAATAGATTTTCCCCATTAATGTGTGTTGCTAAAAGTGTTTGGAACACTTTTAGCAAATGTGCAGGTAGGAACATGATCTGACAGTCTCCCTGTGGCAGGAGCTGTCTACCAATACAATGTCTGGCATTGGTAGAAGCAGCTTTGTAATGCAGATAAGCCCTAACTTGCTAACCATAACCTCTCTTCTGGATCTTCTAGGTGCTGCCTCACAACTAGCAAATCATCTCACCATATTTATTTTTAGTCACCAAAATCACAAACCTTTAAAGGCAGAGAATCCTCTTCATCCGAGTCTTTGAACTCAATGCAAACAGCAATATTTCTAGCCTGAAGCAATATTAAAAGAAAGGAAAAGAAAAAAAAATATTCAGAACAAATTATAAAAACAGAATACATATATAATTTGGTCATTAACATCCGACTAGAACTGGAAACTACAAGAATATGTTAGTTTCCTTATACTCACCTTTGCAAATGACTTCTGACTGTCATATTTCAAGTACTTTGGATAGACGTACAGATGATTGTTGTAGATGGTGAAAGGCTGAGTATGTTTGGGTATACATGGAACAAATTCCTCTATTTCAAACGTTATTACTGTCTTGGTACTGTTTTCAAACTGTCTCATGGGAATGTATGATGAGTTAACATAATCTGAAAATTGTATTAAAAAACAATAAATATACTGAAACGAAAAATCATATTCAACTACTTAAAATATTTAATAATACTTACTTGGAAAATCTGGAGAGACATTATCAATTGTTACATCTAGATTTCCTAAAATAACAGGCAGCTTGGCCATCTTTTCAGGTCTATAGAAAAATAAAAATAAAAGTAGTCAGTTATGAAAAAGAAAAGAAATAGGGAGCATAATATATAAGTTATCTTTGGAGGTCTGATTTAACAAAACAAGACAAAGTAGTCTTCTGATTCCATCTGATGGGAATTTTCAACATTCAATTTAGCGAAATTCTAGTTAACATACTGGAAGGCAGGACAGTGTGGCATTTTATGGACTCATTGCCTTCTGCCTGATTTCAGACTAATATGGCTAACTACCTTCCTATATAAACTAGCCAACTGCCCGTCAAGAATGACAGGGGTGGGGGGAAAGCTGGGATGGAGTGCCACCACCTAACGCCCCATGCTGCCGCTGTTCTGCCTCTTGCAGGGACTGGGGTGGGGGAGCCCAGGCCCCACCCTCTGTCTGGTCCTTGGTGCGGCTTTGGAATCATGGCAGCACTTCCCCACTCTTGGAGCACTCTGGTTGGCTGTTTCTGTCAGCAAATCAGAGTGCAAATAAAGTGTTACGGACAGACAGACTTAGGTTTTTATAATAATAGAATTACTGTTTGACACACTTGCTGAAAATCTGTGTATTATGTTTTAAACAGAATTGGTATGGGTTTGCCTTTTTTTACCTAGAAAAATTATCCGGTTTTTCAAATCAGAAATTAATCTTACTAATGTATACAATTGTCTTACTTTTGTGAACTAGTAGGTAAAGAAAAAAATTTAAAAGTCAATGAATAACAGGATATATAAGCTGATTCATTTGAAGTGTCAATTTATTTACATTAAATGACCAGGAATTTTGTTGATGGAAAGTTAAGAGTGCCCAGTGTCAGGTATCCAGGTTATAACCGTATTGGTCTAGAGGAAAAGGCAATCAGGACTTGTAGTAGAGATATTTTTTATTAGACCAACACCCAGTGATGCCTTTTGTACCCTTCCAAAATATGGGGAGGAATTACTCTAGCCAAAGTAACAAATATGAACATCTTATTAAAAAAAACCTAAAAAAATCCAAAACAAAATAAAAAACAAGCTAAAAACAAAATTAAGGTGACACGTCACTGCCACAGCATGGCCTTTAATCTATTCTTTTTAAGTAATGCTCCAAGAGCAGCACTCTTAAAGATGCTATAGAACAAAAAAGATTTGTAATAATAGGTCTTACCAGAATCAAATACCTGAATGGTAGGGAGCATTCAGAGCTACTGCTATCACTGAGGCTGCCTCTTTTCTGAGTTCTCCTACAGTCCTTAGGGTTAACAGAATGAATGGGCAAGTTCTGGCTTCCATGGAATGAGGAAAGCAAACAGAGTTGCAGAAACTTCTTCAAAAGGAATCAATTAGTTACACCTCTCTATTGATGGGGATCCTCTTGGAGGAGTGACAGAAGAGTATTTTATGGACTCCTCTCAGGCAGATATGGTAAGGAGAACAGGATTTATTAACAGCTACAGTAGAGTTGCACAATCCCATCTTGAACCCAGGAGACTGAATCCACCACAAGGAAGGAGTAACCCAAAGCGTAGAATAGTCAGGCGACTGGGGTCACAAGCACTGTTTTATGGCCAATGAACCAATGGTAAACAAAAACAAAAGAAAACTAGATTAAATAAAACAAAATAAGGACAAAAAAGTCCAGCACTGTATGTACAGCTATGCTACACCATTCCAGATTTCATACACATCAGGGATGGAAGGAACCTTGGAAGATCATTGAGTCCAGCCCCCCGCCCCGGGGGCAGGAAGTCAGCTGGGGTCATAGGATCCCAGCAAGATAAACATCCAGATTCTCTTGAAGGCGTTCAAAGTAGGTGCTTGAACCACTTCCGGCAGCAGTCTATTCCAGACCTTGGGGGGCTCAGACTGTAAAGAAGTTCTTCCTTATGTCCAGCCTGAAATGGTCCTGAAGGAGTTTGTGACTGCTTGACCTTGTCATCCCTTGGGGCGCTCTGGTAAACAACTGTTCCCCAGATCCTCGTGAGCACCCCTGATAAACTTATAGGTGGCCACCAGATCACCCCTGAGCCTGAGCTTTTCCAGGCTGAAGAGTCCCATAGCTCTCAGCCTCTCTTCATAAGGTCTGTTTTCCTGACCTCTGATCGTGTGCATGGCTCTCCTCTGGACTTTCTCAAGCTTCTCCACATCCTTTTTGAATTGTGGAGCCCAAAACTGGATGCAGTATTCCAGCTGCAGCCTCACCAAGGCCGAGTACAACAGGAGAATGATGTCCCGGGATTTGCTCGAGAAGCATCTATGGATGCAAGCCAGCGTTTTGCTTGCTTTACTAGCAGCAGCACCACACTGAAGGCTCATGTTCATCTTGTGGTCAATCATGACCCCCAAGTCCCTTTCTTTCATAGTGCTAGCCAGCGTAGCACTGCCGAGCCTATAATCATGCTGAGGGTTTTCCTGCCCAAGGGGGAGAATCTTGTATTTTTTGGTGTTAAGCCCCATCAGGTTCTCATCCGCCCATTTCCTGAGCCTGTCAAGGTCAGCCTGGATCGCCCTCCTATCCTCGGGTATGGACGCTTTACCCCAGAGTTTGGTGTCATCGGCAAACCCGGCCAGTCCACTTCTGATACCAATGTCCAGATCATCAATGAAGATGTTGAATAGTGTTGGCCCAAGGACAGAGCCTGGAGGGACCCCACTGGTCACAGGGCACCATGACAACTGACTTCCGTCAACCACCACCCTCTGGGTCTGACCATGGACCCAATTCCCCAGCCAGCGGATCATGGTGAAGCCGAGGCCGCAGATGGCCAGTTTTACCAAGAGGTGATCATGGGATACCAGATCGAAGGCTTTTTTAAAGTCAAGATATACGACATCAATCTCTTCTCCCTTGTCCAGGTGATAGGTCACCTGGTTTTAAAAAGGAAATAAGATTGATCAAGCAAGACCTACCTGCAACAAACCTGTGCTGGCTATTCCTCAGGATGCTGCCATCGGCCAGTTTGTTAAGAATGGCTTCTTTGATAATCTTTTCTAAGGCCTTCCCCAGAATAGAGGTCAGGCTGATGGGCCTGTAGTTTGCCAGATCCACTTTCCTACCCTTCTTGAAGACAGACACCACGTTGGCCTTCTTCCAGTCCTCGGGCACTTCACCAGAGCGCCACGAGTTCTCAAAGATCCATGCCAGGGGCTGAGCTATGATGCAGGCCAGCTCCTTGAGTACCTTGGGGTGTAAGCTGTCAGGGCCGGCTGACTTGAAGGTGTCCAGCCTCGCAAGGTGTTCCTTCACAAGGTCAGCATTGATGGAGGGTAAGGAATCTCCCTCACCCGGACCTCCATGTCCCATAATGGGCAGGGGTGTCCCGTGGGACTGGTGAAAGACTGATGCAAAGTACCCACTTAGCAAGTTGGCTTTTTCCTGGGCGTCAGTTGTCCCGTCTGGTTTTGCAGGGGTCTGATGTTGCCCTTGCTTTTCCTCCGGCTCCCCACATAGCTAAAAAAGTACTTTTTATTGTCCTTGATACTTGTAGCTAGCTGGAGTTCAGTCACAGACCTGGCTTTCCTGGTTTGCTCCCTGCAGGTCTGGACCAGTGCAGAATATTCCTCCCTGGAGGTAGAACCAGTCCTCCATCCTTTGTAGGTCTTTCTTTTTAGATGCAGGAAGTCCATAGATGCAGGAGGTCCACTAGTTCCCTGCAGAGCCAATGTGACTGCTGTGCCTTTTGCTGCCTTTCCTCGGAGATGGAATAGACTTAGCTTGTGCATCCAGGATCACTCTCTTGAGGAGCAACCACTCATTCTGAACTCCCCTCCCCTTTCTGTCGTGGTCCCTTAGGACCTCACCTACAAGCCTCCTGAGCTTGTCAAAGTCAGCTTTCCTGAAGTTGAGGACTTCTATATTGCTGACTGACTTGCCAGCTTTACGGCAGATGGCAAAGGTGATCAGCTCGTGGTCACTGTCACCCAGCTTCCCTCTGATTATTAGGTTACTGATTAGGTCATCCCCCATAGCCAGTACCAGGTCAAGCAGCGCTTTACCTCTTGTCAGTCCATCGACTTCTTGCGTCAGGTAAAGCTCATCCACGCACGAGAGAAAGCTTTGCGACTGCTCTGATTTGGCCGAGCACTCTTCCCATGAGATGTCAGGGTAGTTGAAGTCTCCCATGACAACCATGCACCGGGAGCATGCAGCTTTAGTCAATTCCCTGGCAAACTCCTGGTCAAGCTCTTGATCCTGGGTAGGAGGTCTGTAATAGACTCCCACCATTGTGTCCCCTGTGCTGTGTTCCCCATGGATTTTAACTCACAGGGTCTCTAATCATCCACCATGGTCACCAATGTTGGCTTACAGGTACGCGTAGCTTTCTTTGACAGAGAGAGCTACACCCCCACCCCTTTTGTCCACTTAATCTCTCCTGTATAGGGTATAGCCATCTATACCTGTGGCCCAGTCATGGGTGGAGTCTAAGTAAGCATCTAAGTATTTTGTTTCTCTGCCACAAGCAATAAGGAGGAATGAAGCTTGCAGCTGTCCCATCTTTAATATTTTTGGCTGTGCTGGCCTGGAAGACGTAAAAGCTACAGCCACAACTACAATAGATACTGGTATTGAAAAATCTCTGGAACATGTGCAACATCACGAGAATTTGGATCAACATTTTAAGGAAAACAGATCTGTACTGCATTAAATAGACAGCGGGATTCTTTGGATATCAATGCAGATTGCTTCATTGCCATGTACACTGGTGCCAAAGAGTTAACACCAACAGCTGTATAAATAAGTGCTTTAGGTGGTTCTGGAGTGATCTGGCAGACAGCCAGAGCTGATATTTTAGAGGGAACTGGTTTAGGCTGTTGATCGTCTCTTGTTTTAGGAACCTAAGCTAGATAATATGATGGTAATTCTGTGTTTATTTTCCAAGCCCAAAGAAGGAAAACTGCACTTGCAGTTTAAAGTGTACTGTTTCCTGCAAAAGCTATAAGAATAAGGTCATAGTTGCTTCTCATAGACTCTCAGAATCCTAGAAAGTTAAGGTTGGAAGGGACCTCAGGAGGTCATTTAGTCCAACCCCCTGCTCAAAGCAGGACCATCATCTCCAACTAGATCATCGCAGCCAAGACTTTGTCTAGTTGGGTCTTAAAAACCTGCAAGGTTGGAGACACTACAACCTCTCTGGATAACCTGTTCCAGTGCTTTACCACCCTCCTGATAAGAAAATTTTCTTAATATGTGACCAAAACTTCCCTTGCAGCAACTTGAGACCACTGCTCCTTGTTCTGTCATCTGTCACCACTGAGAACAGTCTAGGCCCATCCTTTTTGTAACCATCCTTCTGGTAGTTGAAGGCCGTTATTAAATCCTCTCTGAGTCTTCTTTTCTGCAGACTAAAGTAAAATTCCCTCAGCCTCTCTTCAGCCCTCTACCCATTTTTTGTTGCCCTCCGCTTGACCTTCTCCAATTTGTCTACATCCTTTCTAACATTGGTCTATAACCCAAAACTGAACACAGTACACCACATGTGGCCTCGCCGGTGCTGAAGAGGGGAAGAATCACTTCCCTCAATCTGCTGGCAACACTCCTACCAATGCAGCCCAGTATGCTATTAGCCTTCTTGATAACCAGGGCACTGTTGGCTCATATTCAGCTTATTGTCCACTGTAACCCCCAGGTCCTTTTCTGCAGAACTGCTGCTTAGCCAGTCGGTCCCCAGCCTATACCAGTGCATAGGACTGTTCCATCCCAAGTGCAGAACTTTGCACTTCTCCTTACTGCATTTCATGAGATTTCTTTTGGTCCAATTCTCCAATTTGTCAAGGTCTCTCAAAACTTAGCTGTACCCTCCAGCATATCTACTACTCCCCCCAGCTTGGTATCATCTGCAAACTTGGTAAAGGTGCACTCTATCCCATCTTCCAGGTCACTGATGAGAATATTGAACAGGACAGGCCCCAGAACCAACCCCTGGGGCACTCCACTTGATACTGACTGCCAACTAGACATTGAGTCATTGATTCCTACTCTTTGAGTTTGATGATCCAGCCAGTTTTCTATCCACCTTACAGTCTGATCATCCAACCTGTACTTGCTTAGCTTGCTTGCAAGAATATTGTGGGAGACCATATCAAAAGCCTTGCTAAAGTCTGTGGGGAAGTTCCTAACTCTGTACTTAGCTGTACTTAGTTTAAAAGCATGATTTCATTGAAGAGAAATGAGCTTTAGAGACGTTAGAGTAATATCACTGAGATGGTTTGGCATGGCTCAGCAAATATTTATTCTCATTCATTGTTTTGATTCCATCCCCACGTAAGCCAGAAGTGGAGTATCACTAGAAGAAGCATTAAGTTACCATCGTCTATGACAAACAGTTGACAAAAAATGATTTATACATTGACAAAATAAGGAAGTAAATTTCCCAACCCTGAAACGTAATCACCAACAATCAGAAAATGAACTTATATGCGTCTGTTTTTAACTTATTATTGTGGCATGTATCATCTAAGATTGTGAAAGAAGAAAAGTATTATTTCAGTTTATTTACCTATTGCATTTTGTGTTAGGTATATTCACTCATGCTCCACAGAACACCTGCCTTCACCAAATCAATGCAGGTTTCAAAAATTTGAAAACCATAAAAGAGGCATGGGGCCTCTTGTAGAGCTGCAGTACATGAAACAACTCATTTTGAAACCCAACTGATTTGCAGTTTGGGATTAAAATGTGACTGTTCCTAAACGTATTACTTAATAAATATATTTTATTGATTGTACACTCATGGAATTTCAAATTAGTGCAAAGTGGGGGAGGAGAACTGCATTTTTATTTAGATGAAACTCCTAACTACATGTTTGTAGAGAAAGTTAGTTAGCCATGTTAGTCTGAAGTCAGGTACAAGGCAGGACAGGCTCTACCTTGCCCTGTCTCATATATTTGTAGTAATGTTCACATGACTAGTTATAAGAACAGAAACAGACATACAAGAACTGACCAGATGTTTTAATTTCTGTTCATCCTAAAAGATGTATACATTATAAAAAACCCAAAAAACCCAAAGTGTTACACTCACTTCCTGAAATCTGCTAGCAGCTTAAGCATGTCTTCATTTGAGAGTTTATTACTGTCTTGTCTATAGAGAGCAGAAAACCTTGCACTTTTGTCCAGGGTTCCTGATGCATCTTTAAACAATGTCCTGAAAGTCAAAAAGTTCTCTTTAAAATTTATTAACAATAGTTTAAGGTAAAAGCTACATTTAAATATCTGTCTACCAGTATGCAGATAAGCTTTACTCTATTCACAGCTAATATTTTAATAAACAGAATATGAAAAATTTAATTTCTAGCCAAGTCAAAAATAGCACAGCAGTGGAGGGGGAAAGAGCCACCTAACTTAAATGATCCCCATCTCAAATACCTGTCCCACCATGGGAAAGATGTGTATACCTCATTTGTCTGAAATCTGTGGCTGAGCTAAAATGACATGAATTTAGAAAGGGCTACTCTGAAATATGAGCAAGAGAAAAACCAAACCCAGCAAGCTCAATTTTGGTAAATGAGACTTCTATTGTTCTTCCATAGTAAACAAATCCCCTAGACAATATATCTGGTGATAAGAATGGCGTTCCTTACCTAGCTGCCCAGGCAAAAGGCATTCTATATTGACCTAGTCTTTGACATGCTTGCTTGGCATTCTTCAATACTTTCTGTGCAACCTGCAAGTGATTAAGAAGGTGAGTTGTTAAAATACAATGTATTCCATAAAATGAGATGTCTATCGCTTTTCATCACTATCCAAAAAGTCTATGCTAAGAGTAAATCCATTCTTAAAAGATGAAGTTCCATCAACATTAGTAAACATGTGAAAACTATAATAAAAAAAGATCAACAACACCAGTTATTTCTTTATGGATTAAGTAGGGCCTGCTGTTATATGCACAAGCCATAGAGCAGAAACAAACCTCATGCACTTGTACTCCCCTCTGTTAGGCCACCATTTCACTCTGAAAGGAAATACTACCAACGCAGGTTCACTTGCTAT